TCGAGTTTGAACGACTCACTACTCATATGTCTAATTGCTCTTAGTCAATTGTCGTAGAGAATCGTCAGTCTGAGTTTGAATATCAATTCCTTTCTGGAAGTGTTACAAAGTATGACCAAAAACGCTCCGTTGTCGAGAAACACTGCAAATTAGAGCTTCTTTTTCTTGGACAGTGCGATTAAAAAACGCGGAAAGAACAAACTCGGGGACGAGAGAGTATGGTGGACAAGCGAGACGCAGGCGCTCAATTATTGGTGACGATGGGCGACCGCAACCTCACAAGGTGAATGCAGATAATAAGCGTATGAGGCCCTTATCGAACGCTTCCCACTTACAAGAATGAAAATCATCTACTTTTGTGGATGGTTATATTCTACTAATTGAAGGGATTGATCTTCCTAGAGTTATCGTGGGTTATGGCGTTAGCCGCGTGATCATGGGCATTCAAATACCTTTACTCATCTCCTAAGGTAGTCAATAGTCGATTTCATCGATTTCTGAGTACCAGTAAATTAGTTGCTCTAACTCGAGAAGACCGATTTTGTTATCGAGCCTGGTCCCGATGGTTTCTTTACCAGTTTTCTCCCTCAATCTCCGTTGACTCGCAACATAGGCGTGGCTTTGCAAGTCAGACTGGTGGAAGAAAAGGCGGCCGTCGGCGGGCCGGCACGCGTCCAACGAACATGTCGATCTTTGCTCGAGCACTGCGACGTCAGCGTTGTTGTTTGGCAGTTTGTTGTGTTGTGGACAGCATATGAGCGCATGCGAACGGCTCAAAGGCGACGACGGCGTTCCAGGCGGTGCCAACTGTGGCGCGACATTCAATTTGAGCTCAAGTTGTCCAAGGTCTAATTGACTGTCGCGAATGCGGAGATCATGCGACTCAGATAACGGAACGTCTGATGCAGTTTAACCAGGATAAGGTTCTTCTCAAGTGATTGTTGGTTCCCAAGGGGTAGGTCATTTCTGAGCAGTGAAACGTGTCTCCGATTGAGCTGTAGCAAGCTAAGGTCTAAATTGTTTTGTAGGTTTTTGTTGTGTCGATTTCACTGTGAATCCTTCACCTTGTTTTTTTGTCGTAGAAGCCCTAAGTGAATATGGTCAGAATCTTATTTCACAACCTGCGTTAACACAGATGAACACATAACGTGCGGAGGCATCCAATGCTTGGAGACCCAGCCCACCCCGCCCATGTCGAGAAACGTTTCCCGGAACCGCTTAATGAATAAAGTTGCGTGGCGAAAGCTTCATTATAGCTGCGATTCGGGCTAGTTCCCTCAGAAATCGACATGAGCGATTCAAAAGCATTTCGTTCCCGGAAAGAAAAGAAGGCTCCCACGGTTGCCGGAATGGCCATTCACGAGAGAAGGTTATGGTAGACGCACTAGATCGGTTTGCCTGTCTCTTCTGAGATTAGCGCAAGGTTTCAGCATCACTCCAAATCTGCGAAGACGATCAATCGGGGCATGGAGTTATGAAAGCAAACCAGCACAACGGGTTAGCTTGGTTGGAATCTCAGAATTCAAAATATCGTTAGGATCCGTCCCTAATTCTGTATAAGTATTGCTTTGCATATTTCAGGGAAGTTCCGTTGGAATAAGCCTATATAAAAGCTGTTCGTTGGCTGTATTCCTGAGAGGATTTGGAAAACAATAAACACGATTAAGGGGAAACGCATTCTATTGGACGCCCCCCCTGTTGACTGGTGCCAGTCCGGCACCGAGTAAGCCGCAGAAGCGTGCTCGCTGTTTTTGTTTTTGTTTCCGCCTGCTGTTTTAATGCGCTGTGTTTTAATAAACTCCTTCGAGAATAGTTTTAGGAGATAGATTCGGACGATTAGCTTTGAAATCAGCAGGTGTTAAAGGCCCACATCTGCAGGCGTATACATCTCTTCTTTGATTTTGGGCATGGCGACCTGGAAGGCTTTCCTTGCCAGTTGTGGGTTAACGCTCTTGTGTGGCAACGACCCTCCTCAGGTGGAACCGTCGGTGAGTTTATTTCTTCGCGCTGTTCTGATCTTCTCGAGGGGTTTCTGACACGATGTCGAAACCGCTAGAGTTGATGAGGCGCTTGGTGGTGTAGAGCGTAAGTCTAACGCTTGAAACACGTTCAGGCCTCTGAAGACGACGATTCAGTCGAAACGTTAGGCCTGTTGAATAAATGGTCCACTTAACGATCTCGTAAGACACAATGAAACTATCAAACGTACAAGTCTTCTTTGTACCCTGCAGCTAGGTGGGCCTGCAATACAAGCTTAGCACCATACCTTACAGCATAGAATATTCAACAACTTCAAAAATAATGGGTATTATTAATTTCTTAAGGGCAGGTGTCTCGTGTGATGTCATATTCTGCACAATCACTGGGGCACATTCGTGATGGTCTTGAAAAAAATCAATGTTACGCGTGGTCTTCGATGCTCTGACTCACGTCACTGATGCTGAGTGTGCATTACGGACGCACGTGGCTGTGGAATATGAAATGTGATGGAAAACTTCTCACTAAACGTTTAAAAGAGTGCGCTCCTGGATAATTCACCACATTTATGTGTCAACAAGGCCGAACACCAGGATAACTTTGCAGTTTAAAGCTCTACGTTAAACATAAGATGAATCCATGTTATATTGCAGTTGCTATTAGCAGAAGAAAAAAGCTGTTTGCGCCAAAGTATCAGCCAGGCATGTGTCGGCGTGAGAGTGAGCTTTGAGACGTTGTAAAACGAAAGTGCACCTGTAGTGCATGATATCAAAAGAAATGGAAACGAACATCGCCACCTCCTGGAAAAGCACAAACTCATGTTCGCAAAACGTTCAACTGTTTCCACACAACGGCAGGTTCCTCTATATGCAGTACATGATACATGATAGCGTTGGGGTAACACCAAGAAGTTTGTTAGCCCCTACGAATTAGTTGCCGCGATAGAGTTTTGGTAACCTCAGGCGATTGAATTCGATGTGACTTAAAGGTAAGGATCACTATCCGATTGATGTGGTATCCCACTCAAACATGAAATTGGGAGTGGGCAATGGACTATAAGTGGACAAAAAAGGAAAGAATATCATCAAAATACAGGTAATACAAGCATCCTTGCTGTACGCTGCGGAGAAGTTTGAGAGATAGGCATGAAAGAGAGAGAATGTGAGTTTGGGAGAGGGTGAGGAAGTTCGAGTAGAGAGAGCATAGCGGATTTACATTGCAACGCATATGGATATCGAACAGTGCCCTGATTTTTTTGGAGACATCGAACAATGTGTGGGCTCTGATTCCCTCTGATGGGTGATGGGATTG